TGCCAACCAACAGATCACGGCTTTTGACGCACACACACACATACACAGATATATATATATATATATATTTGATTAGTAATATTTCAAGTCAAAGGGAGGTGAACACGAACGAACAAATATTTATTCGTGTTGTTTGTGTTCTGCTCGTTAACTTAGCGAATGAGCCGAACACGAGCTTCTTAACGAGCTGACACGAGCTGTTCGCGAACGAGCAGTTTTGACAGTCCTAATAACCCAATATACCAATATCCATATTTTAGGAGATACATCATAATTATACTTCTGCATATCTATTGTGGTTCATAGTTGCATATAAAATAATGTGGTCCATGTATTGCCTAAAGTGAAATTCTATACATATATTATATATATATTATGCCAACCACTATATAAATTTGTTCATAGATTTAGTCAATTTTCTTTAAAAAATAGATATATTTAGAGAAAAAATATTAAAAAAATGGAAATTATTTTATTGTCACCATTGCCACGTGCGGATCCATTTTGAAGCAGACACCCAATAATTATACTTCTGATTGAATTTACTGATCCGAACTTTAATGTGGTCCCATGTATCTTGCAGCTGTTGGCATCAGTAACCTTTGCTTTGCATTATTTACTGCCTCATGTGGAGAGGACAATAAATTTCTAAGTACCGGTCAGTTTAAATATTAGAAAAACTATATAATTTTATCAAAAAATATATATTTGGGATAATTATAAGCATAGCATTTGAAAATTTTCTATTTACAAAACCCAACACTTAGTGATTTTTGAACTACCGAATCCATGCATTAACACGTGCTGGGATTATACCATTGAAAAAATAATAAAATCGAAAAATATGAGCTGAGGTTTGTTGATCAGAAGTACGACCGATTCAACATACGATCAGTCGGGCCCGGCCTCCCTTATAGTGGGAGGGCAATTTGGTCTTGTACCCATCCTGAAATATCACTTTGTTCTTCATTGTCCTAACCCCTCCCATGTTGGGTCTAGAGGGGCAATTTGCCCTCTCTAAAAAAAGGAGGTTGGTTCCACCCCCGATCAGTTCAGCCCAATTTCAAAACAACATTCATTCGTTATTTTAATGTTTATTACATCTTCTAATTCAACTTGATTGAATCTTTAAACTTTAAATCTTTCCTTTAAATCGATTTTATTTTCATAAACTTGCATGCAACTAAAATTAATCATGTACAACATGCTCCCTAGTGGCAACTTAAAATCACCATTTGTGCCCATTAACAATGGTTTAACCTCAACAGTAATTGATGAACATGTAATTGTTAGAAATATCAAAGATTAAAATCATAGATAGTCTAAAGAAGATGCAAATCTGACAACAATTATGTATGAAAAGATATCAACCATTAAAATCATTGATATAAGAAGATATCAACCATTAAAATCATAGAGAGTTTCACATTCTAAACTTCCTCATCAGTTAAAATTTCGGTAGCGTTTTATCAACTGTAAAGCAAATAGGATGTCAATTAAATGCTTCCATTGAAAGGCGAGTACCGCATGATGGCTAATAATTTCACACACCCCCATGAAGATGTGTAACAACTATAAAAATAGTTTACATAAACTGGAATGGCTAAGGTCATCTAAATATAAAATAAATGTATGGAATTACATGCTCCACTAAACATCACGTACTTGTAATTAAACTAAATAACAAATTTCGACTTGTATAGACCGAATATTTAGTAAATTGTCGCATATGCATTGATTAAAGTATGTAGAGTTAACTTAAATTTAACCAAACATTACAAAAAATGAAAGATTAAAAAATTGAATGCTTGGTTAAATCAAATTTCCTCGTTTTCCTTCACTTTTACGATGTAAATTCAAATTTAGTATATCCGATTGTCAGGCAGATTTATTTTGTCACTGGCGTGCTCCTCCATCACACCTAGACTTTTCTAAATTCAGGTTTATCGGATTTGATAAACCTTATTTAGTGTAAATCTAAGTTACAGGCCTAAGTCAGTATCAGCCAAGAACAAAGGGATATGCGATGAATAAGAGGTTTGAGAATTTAACTTTGATGTCGAGTTTATCATATCCTTTATCTACTTGTATTTGATAGCAAATTGATTTTTTTTTAATCTGATGAATGCAGAGAACACAAAGTGATGACAAACCCCAAGAGCCTCAGCCAAGCTTTTGTGTGTGCGTGTGAGTGAGAGAAGGAGAGTCAAGCATAAAATTGTAATGTAAATTTTCTATAAATATCTTACAATTCTTATGAGTTTACACATCTATAACTCTTAAAATTTGATATTTACATTTATAATATTTTTGTGTCGCTGTATTTCCCTTTTAAAAAATAAATATTACAAATATTTTTGATGTGGTGATAAAATTTTGAGTATTGTAAATATAAATTTAAAAGTTTAGGCATTAAATACGTAAGTACATAAGAAATATGTGGTATGTATGTAAATGCCACAATTCTAATTTTGTTTGAAATTACATTTGGGTGCCAACCAACAGCAAGGAATTGATGCCCCACTCTCACAATCTTTAATCAGCTCAACGTACAGAACTTTAATGACTAAAACATAAGGTGTCCTAATCAAATAATCAAAGATGTTTTCTTTCATATCAAAACATAAATAAAACAAAAATAAAAATTGGTCCCAAAGAGCCCCTAAACAACTTTATTTATTCATACTGTAATAGACAGAAATCAACATTAAGTGCATTATTGGTCATAAATCTTAACCCTAAAAGGATGTTTTATCAAATCTGAATTCATATGAAGATATGATGATGTCATAGATATTGATATTTAGCAGCAGACATTAACCTATTAACAAATTCATAGTCCAATTACAATCAACAAAACAGGTCAATAACTAGCAAGAAAATAAAAAAATTTTGATGTTACCTTTTTCTACCCACCTAAAAGCTCTCAAAGTGAGAATTTATTGGTCTGGGTGAGGATCAAACACAAGAGGTGGACAACTTTTGAGGTCCTTAACTATTGCCTATTGGACTAGCTAGCACCCATTAAACATGTAAATGAATTAAAATACAAATTAATTGAATCATGGACAACCTCATGAAAAGTAGTCAAAAATAAATCCCTGATATGTACAAACATCTCAATAGAATGAAGTTGCAATAAAAGATTCAAACATAATGTGCTATTTATGTCGGGTAAAAGTTTTATAAAATGAAGAGAGTGAGAAATGTAAAACAAACATTATTAGCACTCTCAAGGCTATGCAAAACAAATAACCTACCTCTTATTGTTCAAATGCAAAAGGGATAATGACATACACAACTCTCGAAAGATTGCTATTTACAAAACTAGAATGGAAGGATCATACCATTAGAGCCGTTTTTCATGCCAAAGGTCTGAAGAAAAAAGCAATCAATAGGATTTCCCGAATACTCTTTTCCCGAAAGGAAGAACGAGAAATTATTTATCCTTTCCTTAAGGACTGGAAGCTTGAACTTAGCCATAACATAAGAAGAATGTTTGGTATAAATAACACTTCTAGGTTTTCAACCCTCTCAATCACCACGAGCGCTCCTCGATCAGTGCACTGGGATGTGTCTATTTATCTCTCTTGTGTAGAAATGGGAGAAAGGAGCGGGTTTGAAAAAGGATCTTAGAGTATCTAGGGTTGGGCCAGAAGGAATTCATGTGATTTTTTGAATTATCGAACCAATGCATTTAAAGGTGTCATGATCAAATCATTGGGAATTTGATAAATATAAAAGATATGAGTTGGAGTATTATCGTGAATATTGATATTTGAGTGAGAATTTGAAAAATGGATGAAAGAGGGTGATGGTTTTATAAATAGCAATATTTTAAGTGGTATGTATGTAATTGCCTGTATAAGGGGCTTCCTATGAAAAAAAAGAACATTAAGAAAACAAAAACAACAAAAAAGATGAATTGGAGCCATCACAGAAAAATCTGAAATCATAATCAAACCGGAGTTGCTGCCTAAGTTCTGATAGTTCTACAAGACATACAATAATGACAACAATTTCCTTAAAAAATGGAGCAAGGAAGCACCTCTCCTCTTTAACATTTCTGTATAAGCTGTGTTTAACAGAATATTCAAAAACAACAAAATAAAGTCTCTGACATCATAAGACAATTAATGTGTATCGTAATATAGAACTGAATTCTGTCTAAGCCAAATAACTATTTTTTTAAGGGCGAATGACTATTTCTATCTCAAAGAATTGGACAAATAACCTTTATGGGTGAAGGAAAAGAATATCTGAAAGCAGACAAAGGATTACCAATCTCTCTGATGTTGATACAGTAAAACTTCTCCAGGCTCCTCCTACCAAAGATTTGGTCGCAACCTGTTAATAAAACTCTGGCTTTGCGAAGTTATTGCCACCAATTTTACAACAAAAAAACTTGACAGATGTCCCTGTTGTTTACCCGTTAAGCTGCTCATTTGCTGCGCTTCTTTGCCTCACTGTAGAGAACTACTCCGATAACAGTGAGGCTATATCCCAGCATCCCTGTCACCGAAACGGGGTTCCTGAATAGTAGGATTGAAATAACAACGGCTACGGCACCTTTTGCGTTCCCGAGAACCTACAAAATAGTAGGGAATGGTCAACTCCATCCTTACGAGGGCGTATTCCGAGTCCAGGATGAAGACTCTTAAACATCATCATAAGATTTGTACCAATGATCAGAGATCAGCTATAATAAAAAAAATGGAAATTTACAAACGTGCCACACAATTTATATGCAATTATACATCTAACTCCTAAAGTTTGATATTTATATTTATAGCAGTTTGGTGTCATAAATTTATACATGAAAATTGTGTATTTCACATTTAAAAAGTTGGTAGCAGTGGTATTTTTCAAGTGATATTAAAGATTTGAGTGTTATATACGTAAATATGACTGTTTGGGTGTCAGATGTGTAAATATATAAGAATTGTGTAGTATGCATGTAACTGCCATTAAAATAAAATGAACTGATTAATGGAAATTAAGGTGTTGTTTTATGTTATTTGAACTATAAGTGCTATGCATAGCACAACTTTTGAACAGCCAAATCAATATTTGGTTTGCAGATTACACTCTGGTTCCGCCAATGGCATGTTAGCATGCTAAAGATGAGGCTGACCGACAACACGAGGTTTTCCTAGATATTATGGAGCCCGGAAGCTTCACGATCTAAGCATCAAATAATTAAAATATTGTGAAGATATAATACTTTGTATCCGCATGTGCAATCTCAATCGTCTCAACAATGAGTTAAACTCCTTAGCTGAGTGACACTCTACCAGTCACGATGCAGCAGCGAGTATCGCCTGCGAGGATATCTCGTTGGACAATACTAGCTACCGCATCGTGACTAGCACGTGTATGTTGTGCTAAGGTTCCAAAGGGTCTAATAGGTGTCACTTAGGCTTTTCCTTTCTTATAACATATTTTACAGTATAAAAATTATATTTTTATAACTCATATGCATCATATTTTTCAAAAAGCTATTTTGAAAACTATTGCATTCTATGCTTAGACCGTACATAAGGCCAATCTTTGATACTTATGTTTTATAAAATTTACATCTAGTAACACCTTTTAGAATCATTGAATCCTTAAGATGGAGTCAGGGATGTCTACCCCATCAAAACATACGCTAGCCTCTTTACCTTTACCTTGCACTCACTTAAATGATGTGACTAGAGCGCACTATATGTTAGATGGTATGTTAGGCGAGGGCTAGGATACTAGGTAGTATTTTCGGCGTCCTATCTATGGTTCTTTGCTGGTTTGGTTGTTCTAGCCAGACATCACTTTCTTGTGATTTTTGTGTGCTTACTAGATGTGAGACGTGCGCACTAGTATGTTAGTGGTGGTCTTCTTGCAGGAAGTCATGTCCAATGTAGAAGAGTTATAATGATTTATCTGATCAAAGTTCCTACTGGTGTTGCTTAGCTCTCCTCCCACCAGGCATGGTTCACTACGTTGCATGTAGATAGCTCTTTCTACTAACCTGATTTTCATGCATGTCAAGTCTTTTTTTAATGTTCATTATGTACTTTTAGAGTCCTTAGAAGATTCTATATTAGAAATAAGGTACGAGCACGAGTTTCAAGACGACAAATGGGCGGAACCACATGATGAAGACCATAATTTGCTTGCTCGTCTCCAGTACCTTAATTCTTGCTCGTCTCCAGTACCTTAATTCCTAATCTCATTCATGTATAGAATTAAGACCAGGCGTGTGCATATGTGTCTGGACGTTTTTTTTTTGGTTTCTGGGATATGTTGCCGACTCAGCAGCACCTAACATTTTCTTATTATTTTGATTTGACTTGTTTTACTTTTCGTAACGTACTTAACTTGGTTTTGCCCTTTTTACCTTGTGGAGTGTCTGGGAATCATGCATCTAATTTAGGCTCTTTAAAACATAAAATTATAAATTTTCTAAAAAACAATCCTAATAAGAGTTAGAGACTAACTAAAATTTAGGATTCAACATTTTCAGAAATTTGTTTTTACTTCTCTGCATAACCTTCGGGTTGAATTTTAAATGGGTTGTATAGTATGACTCTCTCCCAAGTCATAATTAATAGGGCATTCACATTAGAACCTTATTAGACAACTGCATCATATTTGCATAGCTCGAAGAGAAGCCCCCGTTTTTCTCCAATCCGACTGGCTCAGTATAGATTTCCACTTAAGTGGTTGTCTAACATGATTAGGGTGTTAAAGGCTTCCCCAACCCAAATAGGGGATAAATCCTTTGTCAGAGAGTGTCGGTCTCGTGGTTGTACCTCTCTTTTCTTTCTGCTTCAGTGGCTTCATCGCCACTTTAGCGGGTACAAGTCCCACCTCTACTCTTTCTACCTCCATGAGGTCATAGGATTTAGAGTTTCCTTCTCTTGACCTTAGGGCTATCAAGGTCCTCTTGGACGAAGCAATTCACGGAGTGCTGACAAGGGGGTCTCCGGTTGTGTTAGATCGATTACCTTCACGACCAGGTAGATTTGGGATCCTAATAGCTTGAGACGACGGATCTGTGGTATCCTGACCCGGTTATATCTACCCGATTAAGATTACTCCACCCTTCCTTTGTTACCCCTTTTGAGCTCTGTTGCTCCTTTTAACGCTTCATTGATGTCATCTTGTAGGCTCCGATTGCGGATAGGCCGCCGCCCATTTGGAATACAGTGATTCACCCTCTATCTTTATAGCCCGGTTAGGCCTCAGAAGTATAGTACAGGCCCTACGAGACTATCCATTTATTTCATAGACCTCGTTCGCAGATAAATCGCCATTCGTATGGGATCGTGAGGGACTCTCTACCCATATGGATCAATGCGAGCTTTAAAGACATTGGGACACTCTTGTGAGATAACCGTCCTTTGTGACCCATTTACTAGTCATCATATAAGTGTAGCAAGACGACTTGAATCAATAGTATTCATAGGCATCCCCCAAGATGTAATTAACCAAAAGAATATGTCCCTTTAGGAGTTGCTCTTGACCTCTAAACGACCACGCAAACTTGACTCTCTGGTTATGGGTTGCTTTTGTAAGGTCTTCTTCGCGGATATATTCCAAAGCATTTACGATCTTATTTGTTTGGACGTACGCTCTTGGGCTATCACACGAAGTTTGCTTTATGAAAGTTCTCCAAATTCTTGCTCTTGTTTTTCTCTTGTTTGTCTACATTCGTCGTATATCTTGTCGTTTTTTATTCCTCTCTTCTTCAGATCATCCATATGATCTGGAATAGATATTTACTCGAGAGAAAGAATCATACAATGATGCAAAAGCTGGCGACTCCAAAAAAAAAAAAAAAAAGAGAAAAAGAATAAAAACAGTTGAATCCAAAATGCATTTTTGGATCGAAGTAATAAACTCCATTCAATGAATTTTTCATTTGTCGGACATGATAAGAGTGTAAACGTGGATCTTTGTCTTTGAAAACTTGATGCTGGGACAGCTAAACAGACTTTGTAGGATTGAAGACAAAATGTTTTAGACATAAAAAGTAAGGGCATGCTACATGCATATAATCATTCAACGGTAGCTATATTATTTTGCTGAAATGAAACTAATTATCATAAATAATGTCGAACTCTTTTGTGCCAAATCAGCTACCGTGTGGTAGTAGTCAGATGGGTGTATCTGCATGCAATATTATTTTGACACATACAATTCATGAAATAAAATGTTAACACCCAACAAAAGTTTTGGGAAAAAGAAAAGATATTCTAGCGTTGAAGCTAAAAAATTATATGCAATGAGTACAACTGATAAGAAATTGAATGTTGGTTTGAATGCTCCCAAGCTAGGGTTGGTATTAAGTTCGAAACATGAAAATTTCTTAATTTTCACTCAAATTTTAATCAAAATTGATGTGTAGACTTTTTGGAAGAATAAACTCTCTCATTTTCGCATTAAGCAAATAACAAATATATATACATCTCAGCCTAACCCTCATACAATTGGAGGGGAAATCAAATCATCATGATAAAAAAAAGAAATAAATAAAAACACAATAATGGATAATTAAGGGAGAATAATTTCATCTCCTCAAATGTAATAACTGTCCATGATTTCCTAAATTGAATATGCATATCAAGACTTCACCTCAAGTTGGGTTGTATATATCATACATCACAAACTTGTTTGGGGCAAAAGAAAAGAAATTCTAGCATTGAAGCTAAAAAAATTATATGCAATGAGTGCAACTGATAAGAAATTGAATGTTGGTTGGAATACTCCCAAGGATTGTTATTAAGTTTGAAACATGAAACTTGCTTTAATATTCACTCAAATTTTAATCAAAGTAATCAAAATTGATGTGTAGACTTTTTGGAGGAATAAACTCTCTCCTTTTCTCATTAAGCAAATAACAAATATATATACATCTGAGCCTAACCCTCATAAAATTGGAGGGAAAATCAGATCATCATGATAAAAAAAAGAAAGAAATAAAAACAAAATAATGGATAATTAAGGGAGAATAATTTCATCCCCTCAAATGTAATAACTAACCACGATTCCTAAACTAGATATGCATATCAAGACTCCACCTTAAGTTGGGTTGTATATATCATACATCACAAACTTGTTGCTTAGATCACTAAAGTGGTGTTGATGAAGAGTCTCAGTAAGAATGTCAACAATGTGATGTTGAATTGGGATACAGCTTAGCAGATTAACCACTCAATTGACCTTCTTAGAGATGAAGTGTGTCGATCTCTATATGTTTAGTTCAATCATGGTGTACCGGATTCTTAGAAATACTAATGGTAGATTGACTATCACTGAACATCTTAATAATGCTTTGGTTCTCCATGTGAAGTTCCACTAGTAGCTTCTTTAGCCACGTCCTTTCACAAATTCCTAGGGCCATAACACAATAAATAAATTATGCATTGTTTCTTACCATCACAGCTTGTTTTTTACTTCTCCAACTAACAACCTTACCCCATAGAAATGAACATTAAACTGTGGCAGATCTTCTCTCAATCAATGTGTCTGCCAAGCTAGTATCAATGTAAATTTCAATGTTACTGTTTTCAATCTCCTTGAATATCAATTCATGTCCTAGAGTCA